TATACTTATCTGAGAGTATGTGCTTCTTCATGTACCACTATCTTATCTGTTTGCTTGATCTGAATAATCTAACTACTAACTAGTTAGATAGTAGTCTGGTTCCAGTATATTCCTGCTTAGCATACTTTTCAATCTGTTGACCTTCTGTCAACTCAATTGTCAGTAAACTAAGCTATCAGATATAGTAAAAAAAAATGGTAGCTTATTTTCAGGAATCTACAATATTATATAACTCTTATTTAAATAAAATTCTCTAAATTGACTAATAAGTATATCTTCTAATTATTGTTTAGAATATTTATATTTTTTAATTAACTTGCAATTTCTAAAATTTTTATTATTTGTTATTATATATTAGCTGCTAAAATTGCAATTCTTAAGAATTTATTTTTTTTGAATATCAATATTTAAATAATTTATAAATTTAAAATTAAATAATTTGAATATTAAATAATTTAAAATTAAATAATAATTAATTTATTTTTATAGTTTAAATAAAGAAAATATGCTAAAAGATATTCATTAAATTAATATTCTTCAAATTTTGAATTAAATATTTTGATAGCATATTGATAAAAATATTTATAAGTTTCTTTAAATATTTTATAAATTGAATTTTTTAAACTTATTAATACAAAATAACAATTAGCCAATATTGTATTTCTATTTTCTAATTTAATATTAGCTTTTTTAATTAGTTTAAAATTTTTAACTAAATTATAAATATCATTAAAAAATCTTTTTTTTCTACAAATAATTGTTTTAACAATTCATTTGTTATAACTAAAAAATTTTTATTAATAATCTAAATAAAAATTATAAAAATTATAATTTTTTTATATATTGGCAGCCTCACCAGTATCTTTATTAGATTAAAGCAAATATACAAGTATATTCTAAACTATCAAAGTTATAGATTTGATATTACTCAGCTTCTTCTATAGTTACTCAAGTACAGTCTGCTTTACTAGTTAAAGTTATTGCCTATATTAGAGAGCTGCATCAATTTAGCTAGCAAAACTATAATAAAATAGTTTCAATTTAAAAGAATTTTAACTATATTTAATTGGCAATTTCTCTATCTTCCTCTTTAAAACAATAATTTAATTTTAATTTTATATCAATAACCAATTTAATCTCATTTTTTATCAAAGAAATATTGCTAAAATTCTTTTAATTAAACTTGTATTTCTATTTTTTCTTTTTCCAATTCATTTTGTCCTTTCTAATCAGAGACCCAACTCTCAGAAATCTTTTCATATCCTTCTCTTTATATTTTTCTTTCCATTTTGTAGCTTTATATTCTTTTCTTTTTTCTAGAAAGCTTGTTTTGAGGATCTTTTCTAGAAATATTCTTCTGTAGGCCTTCTTTTCTTCTAAGTGTTTGGAATCTCCTTTTGATCTTTTTGTTTCTGAGTCTTAATTAGTCTGTTCAAATCTTTTTTCTTTCTTGTTCTAAATTTGATCTTCTTCTTCTTTCTTTTTTTTTTTTTTTTTTTTTTTTTAAAAATTTTTTTTTTCTCTAAAATTTTTTTTTTTTTTTCACAAAAGACCTTTTTATTCCTCCTAGATTCTTTCTTCTTTCTCTCATTTTTTTCTCTATTTGTTTTTCTTCTTCTTTTTTTTTTTTTTTTTTTTTTTTTTTTTAAAACTTGGTTTTCTTCCTAGAAACTTTTCTTGTATTTCAATAAAGACTTTTTAATTCTACTAAGATTCTTTCTACTATCTCTAATATTATATTCTTTTTTTTTAATTTTTAACTCTCTTTCATCTTCTTGCTAATATGTCTTAAATCAAATTTATATCTATAATCTATTAGAATATTAACCAATATATCTACTTTATAAACAAATTTTTTTTTTCTAATTTTTGCTACTGTTTGTGAGTTTTTAATATTTTTGATATACTATTTCTATTATCTATTCTATTGAAGTTATTAATAAGACTTTAGATTTTGATTCTTCTCAAATTTTGTTTAGAGTCTTTGCTTCTGTAAGGTCTATAGTATTTCATTTTTGATTTTCTTTTTTTTTCTTCTTTAGTTTTTCTTTTCTTTATACTAGTTTACTATAGCAGCTTCAATAGATTTATTGAACTGTTGTACTAATATCTTCAATATTGTTTTGTTATGCTGCTTTTGCAAGTTTTTCTTTGTTTTTGAAGTTTCTTGCCCTAACCTAATTCTAATTTTGACTTTATTTTAGTAGCTTGTTTCTTCTTTTACTAAACTTGTATCTTCTTTTTTTTGGTTTTTTTTCTTATCTAATCTAATTTATTGCAGTAGTTTGACAGATTCTTTGAATTGTTGTATTATAGTCTTCAAGGCTATTTTATTGTACTGTCTTTGTTGATTCTTTCTTGTTCTTGAAGTTTCTTGCTCTAATCTGTTTCTAGTTTTGATTTTATTTTAGCAACCTTTTTTTCTATTATCTAATATTTATCTTATTCTATTAGCTATATCTAATTTAACTATAATACTGTTTGTTTTTGCATGTATAATATATCTAACTAGATTTTCTTTCTTTTGTATTGCTATTTAATAATAATGATAGTTTTTTTATTAAGTGCAAGTTCTGCATACTCAAGTTCTCTATTATAATACTTAATTCTTTATAAAGTTCTACTATTTGTGTCTTAGCTTCTTCTTTAATAATAAGTTTTTTTCAATATATTTTTCTAATATTTGTTCTATGTGAATTGCTACTTCTTTATTAGCCTTTATTATTGTTGTTATTTGTTTGTTTATATAGTTTTCTATTTGTGCCTTAGTTTTTTCTAATCTTTTAAACTCTCTTCTATTGATTGTTACTAAGTATTGTATGTAACTTTCTGTTTTTTTGTTGTTGATAATTGTTGATGTTTTTTATTTTTGTTTTTCTCTTTGTTCACTTTGGCCATATTAAACTCAACTATAATATTGCTTATTTCTTTTTGTATAATAAAAATAACTAGTTTTTTTCATTATTTAAAGCTACTTTTTAGTTATAATTATTTATTTTTCTAAGTGAAGTTCAGTATAGTTAACTTCACATTATCTATAATATCAAAGTTCTTTCTGTAGAGCTTCTATTGTCACCTCTGCTTCTTCTTTTGTAGTAGATTTTTTTAGAACATTTTGTTAAATTTTACTTCATATGACTTGTTATTTTTTTGTTATTGTTAATTGTTATTGTTGTTTATTGTAATTGTTTATTATCTTTGTTTATATTCATCATATAGTTTTTGGTATATTTTCTTTTTTATTCTTTATTATATATTGTGATTTTTGTATTATCAAAACAGATCTGCATTACAGAGTCAAGGCTGATTACTAAAAATTTGCAAAATGCAAAAAAATATTGACAATTTTATATATTCTTCTATTTTTTTACTGCTTCTGCTCTTTTTACTCAAGTTTTTTAAAAAATTGAATATTTTTTATAGTTCTCTTTCTTTTTTAGAGCTCTGAGTTTGGTTTCTTAATAGTTTTTGCATATTTTTTGTAGTTTTTAATTAATTTTTTGTTATTGTAAATTTGTGTTTTGATAATTAGTAGAAAAAGTTTCTGAAATATTGTAATAAAAATTAATTATATTAATAATAATTTTAATAATTAATATATATAAATTTTTTTAACAATTCTAAAATTATCTGTTTTTTTGACAAATCAACTTTGTATTGAATATTTATATAATATTTATTGAATATTATATATTTTTATAAAATAAGTATTTAATTAATTTTTTTATTTTAATATTTCACAATAAAAACAGTATAGGAATAAACCTCTGTTTGAAAAATCAAAACTATTTTAAATAATTTTGAACAAAAATTTTATAGAAATTTTGTATTAGTTATCTAATCTTAAATTTTATATTAATCTATTATGCCAAAATTAATGAGTTTCTATTATTTTCTTGACTATACTTTTCTGATAAACAAAGTCTCAAAAAAAAGATCAGAACTAACATTAACCCAAATCTAATGTGGGCTAACTTGTCAGGATTTTGATATTGTTGAAAAAATAGTTGTTAGAAAAATGATTGAATCCTAAAATCAATAGCTTACCTGAATTAGCTAAAAAATTAATTAGCAAATTTTTTGTCAGGTATTTCAGAATTTATAAAAACAACTATAAATAAGGGTTTAGATTTCAGGTAAAATTTTGGGTTTTAGGAAATGTTTTGAATTTTAGGTTTTGGGTAAAGTTTCAGATTTTGGGTAAGGTTTCAGGTTTTAGATAAGGTTTTGAGTTTTGGATAGAATTTCAGAATCTATGATTTAAAACCCAAAACTTTTGGATTTGGTCAAAAAGGTTTTGGTGACCAACACTAGCAAGTACCATAATTAATTAAAGTTTTTAAAATTTTTATTATTAGATACAATCTCATATTTTATTTAGAGCACCAGCACTCACTAACACTTGTATGTATATATTTCATATCTTTAAAAATATATATACAATCAACCTAGTTAATATCAACCTCTAATTAAGAAAAAATAGGTTCAGGCTATATAAAAATCATTCTGTTGTTATCAACATCACATATATCAGCATAATTGTCTAATCCAAATGGGTTGATATTAAAGAGTAGTGACTGTATATATATTTTATAATAAAAAATAATGCTATATAACAATTTCAATCGGGCGGCGAAGCCGTCCACATCTGCATCTTCTAGTTACCCTCGTTAATATCAACCTATTTGAATTGGCTTTAAATTATATTGATAGTGATATTAATGAGAAATCATATTAAAGTTGATATATATAAGTGAATTTTAATATATAAAAATTTATAAAATTTGTCTTGTGGCTTAGGTTGATATTAATGGGAGTCACCTGTAGTTGTCAAAAGTATCTATTTAGACAAAGGTTTAGTGTAGTCTTTATTTGTATTATTTAGAGTACTTTTTTAACTTATTCTACTTACGAATCCATTCTTTAAGCTTTATTAAATATATTTCAAAAAATTTAATTGAATGTATTGCTAACTAACATTTAATCTATTATTAATACGACTAAGATTTTTTACTTAAAATCTTAGCAGCATCAACCCATAAGAAGCTAGGGTCTCTAGCATTACTTTCATTATAATCTAATTTGTAATCAGCAGGTCTATATGAATACTCCAATACATCTTTTTCGGTACCATTTTCGAAAAAACTAAAAGACTTTCTTACAGGAAGAAGAAGTGAATTTGGATCATCAATATTAGCAGTAGTAGTATCACCTGCATCTCCTAGAATAACGTCACTTGATGTAATAAGTCCACCAGGAAATGTAGAAAATGTTAATTTTGTATCAAGAAGACCACCAACTGCAATTGTTTTAACTTTATGAATTTCAGAAAAAAATAAGGTGATCAGTGCACATGCAGATATACAATATCCATTAGTTAGAATAATGATATCATCATTTTTCCATGGAAAATGCGGGGCATCTTTGATTCTTTCCAATTCATCAGGTGTTAGAGCGTTAAGGGTCAAGCTGGAAGCATGGTCTTTTCGAGAGCCTATAAACTCATCAGAAGAATTAAATCGATCGCCTGAAGGAAACGACAAATAGAAATTTGGATTATAAAGATCTGAGTCATTAGGGCCTAGGGTCTTAAAGTTATTTTTTATTACTGGAACAGTAAAATCATTAATATTTATTTTCGTTGGGTACGAGTTTGGTTGTTTTGGTGAAAATAGTATTGAATTTATGAATAGGGGTACGGTAACATCGCCACCGTCATTATTTGAAAAATCTAAAATAAGCTGTCAAAACAATACAAATAGGTAAATACAATATATAATGCATATTTAATAAAATTATTTAATTCATACCTTCTTTACTTTTCGTTTCTTAAATTCTTCGAAACCAGATTGCAGATAATCTTCAAATCTTACGTCTTCTTCAGTGATTACTGCAATACCGAAATCTTCATCATCCAGTAAATAAAATTCGGCTTTTGGTAAATCAAGTATTAATTTCGCATGTGCAATTTTCGGCTTGTTGTTATTTAACTGTAACAATTTAAATTTATCTCTTGAAGTTAATTTTGTAATTTTGTCACTTGAAGTTGACGCTTCAACTTTATTAGTTTCAGAATTTAAATTTAGACAAAAACTGCTGAAGTCAATAGCATCGTTAAATTCAATACTCCATTCTCTCTTTAATAGAAAAGGTTTTTTTTTGGAGCATAATAATTTATACGTGATACTAGAAGCTTCAGGCAGGTCAATTCGTGAAGTAAATTGTTGAGCAAATAGTCCTGTACTAGGAGCCAAAGCCATGTTGAATCGTACACCCAGATCTTTTGAATGTGGAATTGAATTATTTGCAAACTCAATTATTACTTGTAATGCTGGTTTTCCATCAATTTCAGTAACTTCACAATCATTATTTGATGGCTCTACTGTATCGTTGAAGATCTTTTAAAATAACAATAAATATTAGCATCATGTCATATAATTCACGTTAATATAATGGCATATACAAGCAACTCTCGATATAAGAAAAGTAGTCTGATATATAGTAACTTTTTATATTGAGCGTCTATTAATAACTTTAAATATCAGATATAATTATCACGAATTTCTTTTGGCTTAATTGTTACACTGAAAGTTTAATTGGTTTTCTTATACCAAAGATTTTTTTACAGTATATTGAGAGTTACTTGTATTATACAATACGTATTATTTTTGAATTAATTTATAAATACCTTAATTATCTTTTATGCCCAATAATTATAATGAAATTGATTAAATAATTAATTATATAATGTCAAATTTGGCATAAACAAGTGATGATAATATCTGAAATTATTTTACCTGTCTCCGTCTTTTCTTTATATCAGTTGTAATCACAGAATATAAACTTAAGTTTTGATTATAAAAAAAACTCTGGTAGCATGTGCTTACAAATTTTAAATGACCATCTTTTACTTTAAAAAGAAGTTTTCTCAAAGCAGTCTATTCAAATAAAAACGTTACATCAATGTTTTTTTAATAAAATGAGTCTTTGTCTTGAAAATCACTATCTGACATTTTTGACCGGGAAAATGCAGACAAACAAACCGGTTTATGTTTATGCGTAAATCATCTTTTATTTCATCGTTTATCTTTATTGATTCAATAATTTATTGAATAATCTATTGAATCAATAAAGATAAAAGTTATGTACACATAAATATGAACTGGGACTTGAGTTTGTTTTTGTCTGAATTTGGCCGATAAGAAATGCCAGATGGTGGTTTTCAAGGCAAGACCACACATGTAGGTATTTACTTATGGACGTATCTAATTGTAACAACATGTTACACGCTTATTTGTAACAACTTTACTTAGTACAGCCTATAAAAATAATAAAAGTTTGTGTACTCAAACCCTAACTTTAACTACTATTGGCTAATTACTGTAACATGTTGTTACGAATGCATTAATTCTTTATTTATAATGTAACATACCTTAAATTCATTATCAAATTTAAAATTTTTCTTATTTCGTAACGACTTTAGTTCACTTATTAGATTTGTAGGTTGATAAGTAAATCCATTGGGTGGTTTTTCATTTGCCTGATCAAGGAAAACATAATATTTCGACAAGATTTGTGACACAGAATCAATTATCTTTTTTGTTAAATAATAATCATTAATATATATGTATAGGTAATTTTCAAAGAATTAAAAAAATATTAATAATTACTTGAGCAGCATTTGTAGCATTAAAAGGAATGCTTTTGAAACATGTTTTTAAATCATTGTAATTAATTAACTTTTCTGCATCGATTGCGTTAATTACATCATCACATTTGAAGCCAGTTTTACGCGATTCTGAAGGCGAAAAAACGATTGCTAGTAATGCCACAAAGATTATAAGACATATGTTAAATGTTGAATAGGCTTGAATTATTTTCATGACCGGCGGTATATTAAAGTCTGATTAAGGGTGAAGTATTTATTAAATAATACAATTTTTGTCACTTTTGAAAATATATCTGTATAAACCACGTGTATACTTGGGTTTGACATTTTTATTAGAAACTAGATAACCTTTTTATACGCAAAAATTCTTTTTGAATTTACTATAAAACAAAATAGAAAAATTTTCTATGAGAGTTTACTAGAATTATGCGAATTTACTGAACGATATGCGTGAATCACTCCTAGCAACCTTATTTATCCTAATTTAATTAAAATTTAATTAGTTTGAAAATCTACTTATTGTTAGAATAATCATAGCTAGACAAAAATAGTTCAAGTATGTTAATTTTGCCATGATCATTTTCTTTTCAGATTTGCTAAATTAAATTGGATTTATATTTATTACAAAGGTTCCATTCAAGATTTTCAATGTTAAAAGTAGGGTAAACGTAGAGTAGAGTAGATCATATGATACCATATGAGTGCTGCCAAGGGAATCCTGTTATCGGACTTTCAATGATATTTTGTGTGCAGTTAGCCATCTATGGGAAAATCTATCATTATCGTTATGATAGATTTTTCATAGACGACTAACTGTACACAAAATATCATTGAAAGTTAGGTTTTCCCTTGCGGCACTCATGTGATTTAAATATAAATATCGTATGATTCGACTAGGGGTCCAGGAGAGACCGTCCCAAATAAGGAAATGATGATCCCGATCATGCATATTAGTTTAGCCAATCAAAACTGTAAATTTTTATCATGTGAAAAATATCACATG